GAAAAAACGATTCTCATGGGTACCACCAGCTAGCTCTGCTTCTCAGTCAACACCGTTGCTGTGTCGAGCTAGATCTTGCCGGCTGTGTAGAGCCGTCAAGCAGCTCAATGTCTTTGTGTTTGCTTGGGTAACACAAAAGATGGTGTGCCCGTGAAACTCATCTCACAAAGCTGATAGGGCTGAAGCTTGTCATAGAAATATGATACACTAGACTCCAATATCTATCAATAACACAAAAAGAGGTGCCACAGCAGTGTACAATTATCGACACATGATTGAGCATTTGAACAATAGAAGATCAAAGTTAAAATTGATACCTAACTTTCCAAAACTTGTTAACCTACATCCTCGAGCATACGCAATGGAAGTGGCCAAATCCTAGCCGGGAAAGATAACAATTGAAATTTTGACCCTTGGATATCGGTCCTGTGCCAAGATAGTAGCTCTTGCCCGACAGTTTCGAATCTGGATGGAACTAGATCTACATCGATATCCTTGATCTACTAACGCGTCTCTAGAAATTGCCAAATTTGACGAATATTAGAAAATGGTAGACGAAGTATTTCGTCGTTGGCAACCAATCGAGGACCTGCATATTGCACATGCAAATGCTCGAGTAGTGGAAGCTGTAGTGGATAGAGGAAATCGGACCTAGGGATGGATAATCCTCCTTGGTTCAGGTCAGTCGAGTGAACTCGCAAGCATTTCTCGTCCCATTTTGGATAATGCGATTGTTGACCGATGGACTTTTAAGTTTTTAGCCTGCCCCATTTTCAAAACCGGGCAAACCGATGTGGGTATCTTTCCCGATAGGCGTTGCTTATCATCGTAAATGGGCGTGCTTCATCACCTCTTCATGATTGGATCTCGGGGCTGACTGAGCTGAGGGCTCCATAGTAAAAAGCTTGATTATCTAGCAAGGATATATTTCCCGTCGAGATGGCGGCGGCTTAAACTTCTTGAAAACGTGCCAAGTGGGCCGACGTAAGGTAGGTTGTAACTTGTGAGCAATGGATGTTCAAGGTAAGTAATGGAAAAACACACTCGTGATGAAGAGAAGGTATGGTATGTATGTTGATTTAACCGAATCTTGGATATACTCGTCTGTTGACGAGGAGTATATTGCGAAACTCCAAGATTACGGTGATAACTTATCTGCCATTATGTGTGACTAGGTATCCGTGAGTCTGTGACACTGTTCCTATCTACGGATTATGTGATCGCAAAGACCTCGGCCATACTTTCCCCTTTGAAATAGTATGGAGGGTAGGGGGGGAGAGAATAATGTCTTGGACCATTTTTTAGCATTTTGCTCCATCCAGAGGAGTCCACTTCCCCACCACCTGGTAAATAAGTACTGATTATTGGATGGAAGTTTCTAGCAAATCGACGGTTTATTGTTTATTACTCGGACTGCTCACAACGTCACAATCTTTCGGGCCACCATTAAATACAACATCAAATCCTCCGTACGGCGTACGGCGTAAATAAATCGCGGCTCCAAAACTGTATAGTGGGTATCAATCTCATCACATGCAGCTCAACGCTTGCCTGTTGGTTGCATCGCAACAACACGATGGGATGAGGGAAGAGATGCTTGAGCCTTGAGCTGAGCACCTGCCAGTTTTGATTTGTGTTTGACAGATGAGTGGCAGAATTCTAGAATCCTATTCAATCAGATAAATTAGAAGGGATCATCAGGTTCAACCTCAAGGAGTGGCAAGCCTTGTGTTGCAGTCTGACAAATGTATTGCTAGTGTATCTGAATGGATTCACTGCAACTCAAAAGATGCTTGCTGCAGAAGAAATCTGAATGTTACCCTACATACCCAGGTATGCACTTGCGTTTACTGAGGGGCAAGTGAATACAGTATGAATATGATGTTATTCGACAACAACAAGCAAATGCCAATAATCCGTACGGCAGGCGTATTTAGATTCAAAGCTAACAACCCTAGCACACGAAGCTTGACTTTATTTCGACGGTATTACCTATTACTTACCCTGTCCCATTCTAGGACCCCAGACATTTTCGGCAAAAGCTGGGTTCGGTTTAGCTGACTAGTAAATATCCATGATCCTTCACTCAAAAGTTCGCACGTTGCTCTGTTCATTTAAGACTACTTGTCTACCCGGTTTTTGGAAACTTTGTCTTCAATCTTTCTCAATCTCCCCAATTGAAAATATAAGTCGAGGTTCTTGTGCGACTGTCATTCGAGGAAAATGTTTAATCGCAACAAGAAATCTGCGGCTGATGCCAATGATCTTGCTATCGATTCCAATTCGAGTCCGCAAAACCATGAAGACCCTCTCGCCAATATTCCAAAGACAAACTGGGAAAAACTCTGGCCAGCTATGGCATGTGGTTCAGGATTATTCTCTGATGGATATATTAATAACGTATGCTAATCTTCCAGCCATAAGTTCGGGTATGATAAACATACTAATGTGGGCGTACAGGTAATCGGATCAGTCTCTACTATGCTCGGAGTGATCTACGGAGACGTATACACAAAATCTGCCGCCGTGAAAAATATTTCCGCAATCACGTTTGCTGGTACGGTTGCTGGTATGCTCATATTTGGTTATACTAGTGATAAATGGGGCAGAGCAAACACACTTACGCTGTCCACGGTAATTCTTATCGTCTTCGCTGCTCTTGGCGCTGGTTCATATGGATATCATGGAAGTGTACAGGGTCTTTTCGCTGCACTGGCTGCTTATCGTTTCCTGGTCGGAGTCGGTATTGGAGGAGAATATCCGGCTGGATCTGTCGGTTGCTCCGAAGCTTCTGGAGAATTAAAAGAGGGTACCCGAAACAGATGGTTTATCATCTTCACGAACGTTATGATTGATTTCGGTTTTGTTATCGGCGCTTTTGTTCCATATCTGTTGGTTGTCATCTGTACGGAAGACCATTTGCGAGCTGCCTGGAGAATCTCACTTGGACTCGGTGTAGTCCCACCATTGCTCTTGTTCTATCTTCGATTAAAATTGAAGGAGCCAGAAGAGTTTCAAAGGTATGTGCCACGGCCGTTGAATGTTCCTAGAACTCGCTAATCATAAACAGAGAGAGCATGAAAAATACCAAAATTCCCTACGGTCTTGTAATTAAGTACTATTGGTTTAGACTACTAATAGTTTCCTTGATTTGGTTCATTTACGATGTATGTGAATCTTCAAATCCTCAGATTGGGTTTTACTAACACATGACAATAGTTTTCAACCTACTCGTTTGGCATTTACTCCTCTAAAATCCTCAGTAACATTTATGGAGATACGGCGCCACTATCTCAATCATTCGGTTGGAATACCGTTATCAATCTCTTCTATATTCCAGGCGCTGTTCTTGGTTCTTTCTTCTCCGATTTGGTCGGACCTCGCTACGCTCTTGCCATAGGAGTCACATTGCAGGGTATTGTTGGCTTCATCATGTCCGGCTTGTACCCAGTATTATCTAAAGTCAAGAATGTCCCCGCATTTGTTGTCGTATACGGAATCTTCCTTTCCCTCGGTGAACTCGGTCCAGGTGACAACATTGGACTTCTCGCGTCCAAAACTTCCGCGACAGGTGTTAGAGGACAATACTATGCCATTGCAGCCGCTATTGGTAAAGTTGGTGCCTTTGTTGGTACTTATGTTTTCCCATATATTGAGGCAGCAGGTGGCAGTGGAAATGCTTCTGCGCAATACCCATTTTACGTTTCGAGCTCGGGATGTGTTTTGAGTGCGGCTTTGGCGCTCTTCTGTTTACCACATATTGGACAGGATACTATCACAACAGAAGATGCAGCTTTTAGAGAGTATCTGGAGAGTAAGGGATGGGACACCAATCAAATGGGCTTGGGAAAAGTGGACAATCTTGAGGAGTCTCCTATCAGACAGGAGATTGGAGAAAAACAGTAAGAAATTGTTTTTTTGCCTCTTGAGAGGAGAGGGGTAGCTTTAATGGATAAGGATTGGGGTGATGATTATAATTAGAAGGGAGTCAGACATGGAAAAGAAGTATGTAATGCAGTAATGACCTCTTAGAGAGATACTTAATGATACTGTAAATTGTCAATCTCCTGAATATACTTGTCGTTTGTTTCATTTGATGTCAATATGGGACGCGTTAGTATCTAGGTAGTGGTAGGAGAGGTTTATCATAAGTTCCCGCTAGATGAAAATACTCCACATCACTAGAGTATTACTCGCCCTGTATTTCAAATCTAAAGTCTGCCGTCGTGTTTACCTGCGGTATTGTAGGTTGGTATAATAAAGTAACATTGATTATATGATACTAGTGTAACGTAGTGTAGTGTAGTGTAGTGCAGTGTCAAAATAACATTCTTTACCTTTTTGCTTCATGCTTCAAGTCCTCTAATTTATATTTCATGCTTTTTGCTTTATACTCGTATGCTTTGTGCTTCATGTCTTTTACTCTGGACTAAAGTTTAGAGTTCGTAACTTATTACTGTGGAGTCCTGACTCCCAATTCTTTGAGGAGCCAGGGATGAGACGGAAAGGATATGGGGTGGGATGGATTATTTTGAGATGGTATGGAATCTCGGGAGGAAATGGGGAATCTTGTGGGTTGAGAGAGAGAGAGAGAGAGCTGAGATTCTGGGAATGAGTGCATGGGAGGAGATGTATGATGGGGGATAGAAGTAGGATGGTAGGATGGAAGTGATAGGATAAAAGTCATAAAATGAAAATGGTGGGATGGAAGTTGTGGGATTTTTGATGGAATTCCGGAGAGTAGTTATGGTGGAGTGAGAAGTAGATAATTTGTAAATTAAGGGTAGAGGAAAAGGAGAAGGAGGGGAAATGAATTATAGCAATCCAGGCCAAAACCTTCAACCTTATGATCGGAATTTGAGCTCGTAAATTATTTTGCTTAGTGCAAAGCTATCTCATCAACTCGATTGATGTTTCGTTATGCCATGTCAGTGTCCCCCACGCCCCAACTTTCAGAAAGAAGAGTCTCCCGTGAGCCGTTGCCTAATGGCAAAGAATGTCTACACTATTACAACCTCTCGCAAATCTGCAGACCCCCTTTTGAAGGCCAGTGAACCGTCTTTTGATTTTTCGATATCACCAATAATGGACAGTATTGGGTCTTCTCGAAACGCCGTCACGATTTTCTCAGGGAGAAAGTACGAAGTGCTTAATGTTCCTACACGTCGATACACCTCATTATCGATATCAACACGTTCGAGGATAAGGCTGCTGAATCCTTGTGGGAAGCTCAAATTTAGATAGAGAGGCAGACAGCAAAACTTTTTTGTTGAAACCCCGATTCCCATGTTCTTATCATCCTTTGTTAGACATAAAATGGTGGGTTGACCATTGATATGGATTATCTCTCTGTGCTCGGCCATATCGAGAATGATTTCAAAATCGATCGCTTGTCCCAGAAGTTTCAGATGGCCGCCTTTGACTTGACCAAACTCATCTCCGCCGACAAGATCTGTAACCACTTTGAGGATCTCTATCAGCGGATCAAAGGATTCAAGAGTACTCCAAGGATGAAACATAATCGACCCATCAATTGAAGCCCAAGACCACGATGGTGCTCGATACATCATCGATGGATAGCTGTCTGTGTAACTATACCTTGCTAGCCGGAATACAAGAGCGGATTCCCAAAGACCAGCCAGATATCGACATCGCATCAAGGGCTGGAGCTCTCTCGCTATGGCGGAAATCGCAGCGAGTTTGTCGGAGCTTTTAGTCAATTTCCCCTTTGTATAAGTGATTATTGCTGATTTCCAAGTCAGAGAAGCATATTCCAAATGCCGATGCTTTTGTAACAACGTTTCTCCCTCGAAATCGAGATCAGTGAAATATTGACCCTGATATCTACAGGGGCTTAGGGTTTTGAAATGTGCATTTGCATCCTCGGGCATTCCGAATGGTAACGACTCTGAGGCTTGGAGCTTTGCACATTCCCAGAAGAGCTGTCTGTCTGAAAAATGAAGAACTCGCGGGCTAAGAAGACGCTAGATTATCCTCTTAGAATAGTAGATCAAGTGAGTGTATTCGTCTTGTACAGTGTACATACCTCTTGAAGAACCCAAGAGCGTTTGCTTACAGGGGCATTACTGATTCGCTGGGTCCAGGTTGACCATTCTTGAATGTCATAACGACCTCGCAGAAGCGTAGACCTAGAATCATCTAGAAAAATATTGGATTTAGTCATTGATTGTTTGCTGGCGCCAAGGAAACATATCTGATTCTTGAGAAATTCTACTCTAGTGGGCAGACAGATGTTCAAATCACGATCAAAGAAGCATCCCACAGTATCATCAATGGCCGCTGTGGCAGTAATAGTAAACTTGGAATACTTATACACCGTGCTCATGAGCGATGCCTCCTGATACCAATCATCCCGAGAGTCTTCAAGAATGCACAGAGAATCGATCCAGATATATTCCAGTCCAAGTTTTCGACAAATGATAATTGCGTGATCAAATGTTTTCATAATTTTGAGGTCAGGCATTCCTCGCGTCCATGAACTGACATTTTTACTTGTTAATACCAACCTCTGAGTCGCTGGGATTTTGCCCCAACAGTGAGATAATGTGGCGTACTCTACCCCTATAGGAATGCTCCCCATTTGGCGTAAACACAAAACCAAATCATCAACACCTCTGATACGAATCAAGCGACTTGGTGTCCAAGCTTTCAATGACGAGGGGCGAAGATGCTTACAGCCTTGATGCGAACTTAGGCATGTCTTTAGCCAATGGTTAGCAAGTGCAAAGCAAGCATCAGTGCCTGTGTTGGTAGTTTCGTGGTAATCAGGTAGCAATAGTCGATCTGAAACCACTATCAGTATGATGCCCACAGACTTCAGACTTTGATGAATTGGGGAATAGATAGGATACCTTCAGGAGGATTAACTGGCATAAGAGAAATGTGGGAAGTCTTTGTAAACCCATCCACGGAACATACGACATCAAAACCTGATTTAGGGCCCGTCTGATACCACGAACAAACCAATCTGAAAGCTGCAAGTTTATCACCATCTAGGTCAAGAGCTTCGTAACTTAGATTTTCCCTCAATTTCTTGCATAGAATACAGCCTGTGTCAAGCGCCCGCTTGAAGGCATCATCAGTAGTATGGTGTTCGAATAATCCTGTAATTGGGAATGTATCTTCGGATTTGAATTCACTTTCTGTTGAAGCCTCCCCTAATGTTCTGAAGAAATCTATACAAGTTTCACAGAACATTGTAACTTGAGACGAGTACTTATTAGTAATTGTAAAAAGATGAAGAAGAATGAAAACCCAGTGCGGGGTAGAGGACCCTTTTAAATGTCAGACGTATGTGTATGCGCCCAATGAGGAAGGGAGCCGATATTATCAATCCCATTTTCATTTTTTTCGAATACAGTCGAACATACAAACTAGATAAGATCTCATGTTCATAGAGAAATTAATTTCCAATCCATTCTTTCCCTTTTCTTTTCTTCTCTTTTCTTCTCTCTTCTTCTCTCTTCTTCTCTCTTCTTCTCTCTTCTTCTCTCTTCTTCTCATGCGTATCAATGTTTATTAGACACGAACATTGAATCATCGCTTTCGAATAGTCTCTTCTCCTAATCTCCTCAATGAAGCAACAGCACAGCAAGACGAGTTTCGACATCTCACTGGGTGTATTGATTTCGTGACGCAAATCTAACCATCATGCCAAAAAGTCAACTTCGATTCAACTCCTCGCACTCTTATCTCTCCACCACTAATGAGAGTACAACCCTCTCAATCCCCCTGTCTAAACAGGTGTCGTACTTGCACACAACGCAGAGCCTCTTCCAAAGGTCGAATTTATGAATTCCTTGAAATTTTGGATTTGCTGACCAAGCAAAAATTGATCAAAAGAGCGTTAAGAATTCTTCGAAGAAAAGCGGGGGGTATACCCTAGCTCCTCCAAAACCCCTCTCGACTTGATGCTTTTCAAAAGACCTCTCCTTAATCTCTCATACTTCAGAAGAGGCACCTTCCTATTATAAGATCAAATATTGACATACCAAGCTATAAAAAAAAAAGTAAGAAGAGGTGTCAGCAGAGATATCAGCCCACCAGTAGGTATACGAATTGATGGGCACTCCCAACAATGGATTTAGAAATATCTCTTGATATATCGATTAGTATATCTTAAGAATACTTACAATGTTTTATTCGAAATTGAGCAATCAAAAGATAAACTCTCATATCAAGCAGTTGAATAACTTATGTCAATTTCCAAACCATAATTATACCTAATAATAATCATGTTATCCAAATTTCCAGATATCCAGATTCAGAGCAGAAGTTCTTTTTCAATCATACACAGCTCAAATAATGACATTCAACGAGCGAAGTGGGCTATATACATTTTCATTCATTGAATCAACTCATTGTTTCATTTCATTTCATTTCCACTCGGTTTCCATCACAAACAACCTCTATTCCTCGTTACCAAATCCTTTCATTAAGTGCCAAACGCCATTTCCTCCACCCATACCCCCTATCATTCATCTCATTTCATTCGTTTCCTACCTACTTATACATCTTACATACGTACAAACAGACATCATACACAGATCATGATTCTCCAAACATTCCTCCTTCATTCATCTCGACATAGGACTAACCGGACTAATTGGACTCACAATCTCATCCCTACCAGAAGCGATTCCCCCATTGTTCCCAAGTAATCCTCTAATTCTTCTTTCTGCTTCTCTAACAGCCGCACTCTCATCTGTCCTCCCCATTGGACTTCTAAATCTCTTCGATTGAGACGCCTGAGATAGCATCGAAGTTGGTGGTGGAGGAAATGATGTTTGCAGAGCTTGATATGAGGACGAAGTTGTGTGATATGAAAAGTTTTGATATGTCGATGTAGGATTCGAAAAATTATACCCATCTGATCCTCCTCTTTGAAGCGAGCTTTTCCTCGCCGGATAGTAAGTAGAAGAAGGTTGAGGTATCGCACCAAAATCCGAACCCGAACGTGATAATGAATTACTCCTCGGAATCGTAACTATTTTTGCCATACTTCTAAGGGCTGCGGGGCTTGGTGGCTGTGGTGGAATTTGTGTTGCTCTTTCTTTGAATGTAGAAATTCCGAAGTCTAAAGGAAAGGGCCCGCGTTCGCGTTCGCGGTCAAAAGATGAAGATAGAGCTGATGAAGATGGAATGCCTGAACTTTCCGTTGTGATGGTCTTGATAGTTGAGGCACGTGGATACGAATGATTTGTGTGGGTGACACTAAGAGGAGTTTGAGGATCCGAGTTGTGGTTATTGATTGCCGAATTTGGACCTACAGCTAAAAAGCCGACTTCGCGTCCTGGGTAGCTTTGTGGTTGGTGTGGGTTCTTCGTCGATAATATTCTAGCTGCTGCAGTGGAAGGAATAATTGTAGGCGAGTGAGCCATTTCACTCTTGTTCGTTATTGTCGTTCCGCTTGGACTGGTGTTACGCTGTGAGGCAGACTTCAATGTACCGGGGCCTTCGTACCCAGGCAACTCAGCAACACTATTTCGTGGACACTTGGCTTTCAGACGATACCAGAAACGATGGGATTTACTCTTGACAGTGGAATTCGTGGTATCCATCCATGTATTGGGATGAGTAGGTGGCGGTGGGAAAAATGGGAGAATAGATCCGTCTGGGTCAACCTTTTCAGACGACGGATGCCGACGCCTGTATCGAACAACGAAGAAGAGGAAGAGACCAGCCAGAGCAGCAACACTTATAGCGACAGGGACGGCGATCAGAATCTTTTTATGTGCATTGGCTGTGAAAGTCGGAGTCAGTGTCGGAGTCTCTGTAACGGGTTGAAGAGAGGCAGTGGGCGTTGATGTAAAAAAGACAGTTGTTACAAGGGACGAAGGCGAAGTAGTCGCTGAAACAAGAGGTGTCAAAGGGATAGCTGTAACGAGTACACCATCAGTTGGATTGTGAATCACCCCGGAAGTTGTGATCTGGGCGCATGACAGAGAGCGTACTTGAGCCATAGCAAAAGATACTTGATCTTGCGATTCGTCTCGAATTACAGAATCCGGCCCGTCTGTGGTATTGTACAGGGCATTTTCAGCGCTGATAGAAGGGTTAAAATCTCTGCCCGTCATATTCGTGAGGGAGAAACGAGGTGAGAAGTTTGTCAGAACTGGAATGGAGGTTGATGGATAGTTCGTTATGTTTACGGGGTTTGATTGAACGCCGAAGAAACTGATATTTGTTAAATCAACTGATGCGAGTGACATGAAAGCAGTATATCCAGCTATCCGAACTGATGAACCGGATTGTAAGTGCTGCGAAAGTGATTGCTTACTAGGAATTGTTTGCATTGGGTCCGATGTTTGAGTTGAGGTGTATAGTTGCATTGTACGTTCCAACGGGAATGACCCATTCATTCAAAATTTGCTATGCAAACATTAGCAACTTACTCAAAATACTTTTCGAAGCAGGAAACTTCCACATACCATAGCATTATTGCTTCCGGTAAATAAAACTAACAAATGACTACCCATTTCCTCGATCAAAAGCACATTTCCATCTTCCCTCCACCAAAGAGTGACATCTCCTGAACCCAAGGTGGCTCCTGGAGAGGGCCATGTGAAAGCGATATCTGCGTTGATGCACCTCAGAAAAATGCAAAATACAAGGAGAGAGACCAGACGGTGCATTTTCAAGTAAGGCCTTCTTTAAGACTACAAATATGCATTTTCCAAAGGAATACTTGATGAGCCAAAAAAAAATACCAAAAGTAAAATCAGATAAAACCCTCACGGATATGGACATGGTCTTTTTTATTAGAGCCCTCGCAAACATACTCGCACATCATGCAAGAAAAAAATGTATTTGTGTAAAATGAACAGACGATACCATGCCACCACAGATACTACCACACCAAATGAGAAATAGAAACAATTGTGCCGAGCGAGAAGGCAGTTAAGTGGTTACTTACGAATGCTGTTCCATGAATACTGTTAGCCCTTGCATATACTGACAGCTGTGCCGCTCAACCTCGTCAATTTCGAGAATCTTCATTCGTTGGACCGAGGCAACTGCGCCTCTTCCCGCCGCTAATGTAGTCAGATTGTACTGCATGTTATTGAAAAAGATGTAAGAATGATAAGTAGATATCTTGATTAGATGTAAATGTTTGTTTGATGGAGAAAATGTGTTCCGACGATGAAGATCCGTAACGTCATCTAGGCTTTCTTCACTTGAAGATCTTTCGCAATTGAAGAACAACATGTTATAAAAACCATGCAATTTTACAATCACCATATTCCATGTAGAGAATGTAGGTTACCTTCAGAATTCAATAAAAGGAGTATATTGAATTCGGTATCAAACTCGATATAGTTGAATAAGAGTGAAGGATGAAAAAGGTTGTATTGAAGCTGCGCTGTAACATTTGAAGGAAAAATCCTTCATTGTGGTCAGGCACCAAGGATAGCATACCTTTATGTAGTACGATAGTAATCTTACATTAACCGGGGGAACAAACTTCCAGTACCTACACGGTGGTGGTGTACCATTCAGGATTCATCAAACACGGGACAAAAGGTTATGAAAACACACCCGCACGTTGTTGAAGATCCTTTTCCATACAGGACATGTGGCTTTTTGGCTGGCTCGAAAAGTTGGTTGAAGGTGTATAAAAATGATACTTTACTTGCTTGCGTCAGAGAAATGATTGTTGATCGCGTAAATGTTATTTAAAGATGCAAATGATTTAGGGAATCCACTTCATATCTTCATATCTCCATATCTCCCTATAGTATAGTGTAAAGATACTTGGGTACCCCCCTTGTGCCCTCGTACGAGGTCTCCCGAGTAGGAAGGTAACATTTGCCTAACCGAGTATAGCAACTTCAACATCTCAACAAGCAGATCCCAATGTTCCTGCTGGCCGAATCTCATTCACGGGGGAAACGTGGGGGTTTTACTAAGCGAAGAGTTCTAGATGTTTGAGGAAAGACCGCCCTTTTATTTTTCGTTCTTATACACCAAAAAGAAAGGTTTGTATCTTTGATCTAATTCCAGAGACCATTCAGTAACTAGGGCTCCCAGCAGCGTGTAAAAATTATGCTTCATTTATCAAGTCGTGACACCATTGTAAATTGTCTCACTTACACCCGATCATGTGATAGACTCTTACACCAGAACTAAATCCGTTCAAATTTTCCGGAATTATTTGAGGCACTTTTTGATTGACAGACATGGACTGAAGCATTGAA